TCGTTCCCCGGCTCCGGGACGCTTCGGTTGCGCCCTCGGGCACCCGACACCTGCCGCCGGCATCCCCCAGCCTCCCTCGGCAGGAATAAAGGCTTTTTCGGGACTTCCCGGGGAGTTTGGGATGGTCCCGTGTGGGAGCCGGCTGCCCGCTCGCTCCCGTTCCCAGGTTTAGGGCTGATGTCCGAGGCCCCGGGCGGTGAGAAAAAATACCGGAGACACAAAAGTTTCGTTTCTTTTGTCCCTTTCTTTATTTTGTCGAAGGGAAATGCTAAGGTGCATGGTGTCCCATCCCAAACTGCCGAGCCTTGCAGGCACGAGCAGCCAGGCAAGCACAACACCGCCCCTAAACCGAAAATCCTTCTCCTTAACGAAACGGAACATCCCTTCCAAAACAAAGCTCTGATCCCCGGGCTAAGATCTTTTGCAGCAAGGCAAGGACGAGCCTGGCTGCAGTGCGTGGGATCCACGGCTTTGTTCCCTGAGTCACCTGTGGCAGCTCGGCCAGGCTTGAAATATGCAGAAATCCAAAGGATTTTTAACAGCTTGTCCTCCCTACGGTGGACGTGGCCTAAGACAAAGAAAACAGGGATGAAATGCCTGGCCGGGAGCCTTGCAGGAACAAAAACAGCCTTGTAAGCACAGCCTGAAGTTTGGCAAGCTCCAGCTCTGATGGACAGTGCAGGGGTGTTGGGTTCCAGGGCAGGTGTCGGCAGCAGGACACTGTCCCTGCCCTCGGGAAGGGACAACAGCTGAAATCCAGCCCTGGTGCCCTGGAGAAATAAAGTGGCTGCTGAATGCAGGGGGGCAGAGCACCCCAGGCTTTAGGAATTGCCACGAACACCTTGAATTGCAGCCAGCACTGCGACAGCAGCCCCTGAAACACCCAAAAATGAGTGCTGGGGGTGCTCCTGGGAAAGGCAGCGGGAACCAGCAGCAGGTCAGCCTGGAGCTGCTGAGGGGTCGGCCTCCAGAGAGCTTCTTACAATGTCCAGAGCAGGCTGTAAATAAGATTTCTTACTTTCCACAGCAATGCCAGTGCCTGCAGTCTCTCCTCGTTGCTTAAACTCTCCTCCTCCTCCTCCTCATTAGTTTGCTAAGTTTCCGAGTGTGCCACGAGCTGCCTTTGAACACTCGGTGGAAGATCTTTGCCCAAATGCTCTCTGCTGGGGCAGAGGCTCCAGGAGCAGCCTCCCCAGGCTGCTGCTGCTCCATCCCACCCAGTGCCGTGCCTGGCACCGGCCCTGTTTGCCGAGCTCCCCGCATCCCCAGCGAGGAAGTGCCGCTGTTATTGTTGCAGCAATAAACACAACGGCCGAGGGCAGCTGGTTCACAAAGCGCCACATTTGTGAGTGCAGGAGGAGCAGAACTGGCGTGCTGGGGAGGGGGAAGCAGAGACAAGTGCTTCTGAGAGTTGGGCAATCTGGCGAGTTGGGCAATCAACGCTGTTTGTGAGTTGTTCTTTCGTTTGTAAGGGGAAGAGAAGTCCAAAACTCGCAAGTGACGGATCTGGAAAGCAAAAATCTATAAAAGGGGATGGCAGCAATTCGTTTATCGATTTAGTGAGAGGAAGATAATGGAATCCACAGGATCTGAAAGATACGGGCACAGCTCATGTACCTGTATCCGAGAAAAAACATCCCTCGTGTTTCTCAATTTGTGTACGTCCCATGAACGGCTAAAACAGCAACACTTTGTAGTATTTCCAAATCTATGTGTCAGTGAAATAAAGAGCTGTGACCAGCTCCTGCTAAGAGATGCTCTGCTGGGGGGTGGCTGCAGCAATTCCCTGTGCAAAATCCCCAAGATATTCCAGATTGCAGCCCGGCTTTGGAGCCTCTTACTCAGCCTTTACTCATGCGAAGCGGCTGATAAAAAATACAGCCCTACTACAGATTTATCTGCCCAGATGAGTAAGGCTTACTCAGCCATTCAGCATTTCACACGAGGCAGGGGAGAGCAGATACATCACCAGTTTCACAGCTTGCTCAAAGTCGGGGCAGCTCTGCCCAGAAAGCTCTTCTCCGAACGAAATATCGATTCTAAACCTATTGCACACGTAATGAAAACCATAACGGGGCCCTCTGCCTGGGCTCCAGCGAGAGAAGCCCTTCCAAACTTCCAAACAGGGAAGCTGAAGTTACAAGAAAAGTTTCTAAAAAACCCTTTCCTGTTGCAACAAGCCAGGACAAAGAGGGTGAGACAGCTGAAAACTTAACCCTCAGCGCTGAGCAAGGGGTTCCTTTTCCTTCTCTCCATGAATGCTTTTGCAATCTGGCATAGCCTTGCCTCAGAAATCTCTCACTGAAATATCAGGAAAGTGGTCAAATATCAGAAATGGTCACGGGCTGAGAGATTTTTCAAGGCAGGACCCTTTATCTGCAGGAGAAATGGTACCAGGGGAGAGGAAGAACATTGGAGAATTTTCCTCCCCTTTTGCTGTCGCAGTTCTGCCCTCGGTTGTCACCGCAGCCACCCCTGTCCCTCAGGGGGATCCTGCAGATTCCCCCTGGAAGGAAATTCGGGAGTTGTGTTGCAGGCCCAGACCTTGGAGCAGAGTTTTCAGCCCCTGTCTCACTCCACAGGAGACGTTATGAAATTGCTTTTTCTGTCTTGGCGCTGAAAGGACCTAATTATCAGATTGCATTAGTCCTCATCTCTTCAAGTGGCCAAATCTGCTTTGGTTCTCAAGGATTTTATTGCCAGCTGAAAATGGCTTAATTGTATTGTACTTGCAAAGAAAACACGGGCTGGGGGAATCAAAGCTTTCCACAAGAGGAGAAGAAATGCCATAAATAACACGCTGGGCTTTTATTTTTTTGGGTCTCACCATTTCCATGCATGTAAACTGGCATGAGTGTGCCTTTCTTCCCTAACCATGAAGTCAACTGGAAAAAATTCCTCAGGAAAAGGTGGTTTCCCCATTCCCAGTAACCTCCTGGGGTTTAGGCATTAACTGGATCTTTATAGGTCTAATGCTGGGATCTCCAAGGGAAAATGAACCCACGCTGGTAAGAGAAGGAATGGGGAAAGCCAATGAAAATTCCACAAAACTTGCACGTTTGATAAGACTTGAGAGAGCAAATAAATAAATTTGAAAGCAAATGGGATCTACAGATGTGCTCGATAAAAATGGGTTTGTCCATGGGAGGGATGAAACTGGACAGAGGAAATTGGATTTAGGTTTTATGTACCTGAGAAGAATGGAACTCATAACCCCCCTCAGCCACATTTGTTTCCTTAACCATGTTTTGTGTTCAAAATCTTCACTTAATATTTCAGTTAGGCCTTAGTTAGGCTTATCTTAAAAGCAAATCACCAGGCAGTCACTGTATTTTGGGGGGAAAAAAATAAATATATTCTCAGTCCTTGCTGCTGCAGGAGGGATGTGGGGATCAAGGTGAGGAAATCTTGAAATACTGAATTCCAAACAGAAATCCACTTCTAGCAGGAGCTGTACCTAACTCCCAGTCCAACAGCAACTCCCAGATTCTGCCAAGGAAAACTCCTTTCCAACGCTGTGTTCCGTGTGGCTCGGTTCTCACCAAATTAAGGCGCCTAATTTAAAGCATCTTCAGCTCCCAGCTGAACTTTCAGACCCAATAAAAGGTGGTGTTGGGAAAAAGGGAGCTCTGAGCTCTCACTGCAGGGTCAAAGGCCTTCAAACGATCAGGAAATGTTCATCTGATATTTAATGTACACCTGGCACATTCCATATTTTCCCCAAGCAGGCAGGTCCAGCACCATTCAGGGATCCAGGATTGTGGATAACCTCCCAGAAATGCAGTAAATGCATCTGGCATTGTTTGTGACACAGCAAAATTCCATGGTTTTCCTTCTCAAACCATCAGCTGGGGCACTTTGTGCTCAAAGACAGCAGTGGGGAGATGTTTCCAGATTAATGAATTTTCAGATTAAAGGGAATGAATTTTCAGATTAATGAGAGGGAATTTTCAGATTAATGAGAAGGAATTTTCAGATTAATGAGGAGGAATTTTCAGATTAATGGGAGCAAATTTCCAGATTAATGAGAAGGAATTTTCAGATTAATGAGGAGGAATTTTCAGATTCATGAGGAGAAATTAGTGTGAGTGATCAAAGTGACCAAGCACACTCCTAAAGCTAAGATCTTCCTGTTAATCCCCCAGCTGATCTCCCACAGCTCCCATTCTTTGGATATCTGCAAGGAAAGGGAGTTAATGGTTAAATAAAACTGGCCAGAGTGGTGAGAACATGCTTATGGAGCTGCCATGGGGATGTTGACAATTCCTGGAAGGAAAAGGGTTAAGAGCCAGCAGCTCACACACACACAAGTGTGGGACTGCACTTTCATTCTCCCCCTTGCAGCTCCAGCTGTTCAGTGCCAGCTTTTCCAAAACTGGGATGGGCACAGCGAGCTGAGGAGATCTTGGTGTTCCTCTGGTTTTAAAACCTCAGCTCGTGGAGCTTGCCCGTGAGCAGGGGGCTCCCAAGGACTTCCATCATTTTTTTAGTGGTCCCTGCTGCAGGCAGTCATAGGATCAGAGTCATAAAATCCCAGAATTTGGGTTGAAAGGGACCTTAAACTCATCCCATTCCACCCCTGCCATGGCAGGGACACCTTCCACTGTCCCAGGCTGCTCCCAGCCCTGTCCAACCCAGCCTTGGACATTCCAGGGATCCAGGGGCAGCCACAGCAGCTCTGGGAATTCCATCCCAGCCTCCCTCCACCCTCGCAGGGAAGGATTTTTTCCCAATATCCCATCTATCCCCTCCCTCTGGCAGTTTGACACCATTCCCCTTGTCCTGTTGCTCCATCCCTTGTCCAAAATCTCTCTCCATCTTTCCTGTCAGCCCCTTCAGGCACTGCAAGGCCACACCGAGGTGACCATGAAGCTTTTCTTCTCCAGGCTGAACAATCCCAACCCTCTCAGCTTTTCCAACCCAAATTCTTCTCTTTTAGCAGAAAAGGCAAAGAGAATTGGGATTGTTCAGCCAAGCCAAGTCACCTGCTCGCTCCAAAGCCCTTGTGGAGCTCAGACAACTTTCAAACTTCCCCAAGAGGCTCAGAGAGAGGGGCTGGGCTGTGTTTTGGTGTTTTTCTGGTTGCACCAGGCAGGGATGAAGACCTGAGAGTGCCACCATGGGCAGAGCCGTGGAAAGCTTCCAGTGGGAAAGGGAGTGGCAAGCAAGAACAAGAGCTCAGCTGCAACAGAAGGAGCTGGAACGTTTCTGTCTTTTCTGAGCAAAATTATTGCAAATCCTCTGCCTTTTCTGCATCTCTCCTCCTGGCCTGTTTCATTCACACCTCAGGCACCGAGGAACTGGGGCCCAGGGGAGGTTTGGTGGTTCTGAGAGGGAGCTGGTGTGGGATATGTGGGCACAGGAGGGGAACCAGCAGTGCCCCAAGGAAAAGCCTGCATGGTTGCACTGTGCCTGCTGCATTTCTGCTGCTGAGCTTTTATTACCACTCTAATTTATTACCTCTCAGAGGATCCACTCCAGTGAAAACTGCATTTATAAACCTGAAAGCATCTGATTTCTGCTAGCAACACATAAATGACTGTTCTCCTCTCTTTCTCACACTTTTTATTCCAGTAGATTAGCTGAGATCAAATGTCCTCAGTGCTTTCTATCACTTTGTACCAGAGCCTCAGAATTCGCCTGGAGTCTGTGGCCACAACATAAATGACAATATCAGAGTTTATTTTCTCTCCTGGAAAGCAAATAAACTGTGCTAAAAACAGAGAGTTAGATCACTGGCCATTGTGGAAGGAAAACCACAGCAGAAAACAAGCTGGAGTTTCCTGAGGAGCCAGCACTGGGGTTTTTACATCCAGTGGGAACTTCCATCCCCATGGCAGTGCAGGAAACTCCCTGAGAGGGGACTGGGCAGGTTTGGGTGTGTTTGTGCTGGATTCTGCCCATCAACAGCGATTGGATTTCTCTACCAGGTGCATCCCTGGAGATGCTGGAGCTGCTGGGGAGCAATCCTAGCTTTTTGGGAGCCTCAAGCCCTTCCAGAGCTTTCACAGCATCTTCTCCTCACTTTGCCTGCCCTTCCCGGCCCAGGAAGCCAAGGAGATCCTGGCCAGGACACCCAGAGCTGGTCCCTGGCACATGTGGAGCTCAGCCCTTCCCAGAACTCCTGCAGGGAAAGAGGAGCACAAATTAAATCAGCTGCCACCTCTCAAAATGTCCCTCCAAACTACAACTGAACCCATGAGTTCAACCAAACCGAGCTCAAGAAGTGTTACTTAAACTTCCTGAGATTGTTCTGGGCTGATTACTTGGACCAGCCCTCCAAGGCCCACCCGTTAAAACACCTCTGCCACTTGAAAAATCTGTCGTCAGAGGGGAAATTATCCTCAGCAAGTAAACGCCACAGCTTCCTTTCCCCTGCTATCACCATCTTGTGCTGCTTATTTGCTTTTCTGATGCCGTTTTGTGCCTCCAGGCCCAGCTCTGCCCTTCACTTACTCACAGGGGAAGGATTCCCCACCCAGCCCTGGGCATCCTGAGCTGGAATTTGGGCCAGACTGAATGTCCTGTGCTCTGGCCCAGCCCAAGCCGGGTGCCAGAGGGGCAGGAGGGTGGCAGGAGGA